GTGGCTGGCACCATAACCACAGTCCTAACCGGCACTGAGCCTATATTTCTATGTTTAGCAGAGATAGGGTCTCACTCTTGCTCAGGCTGGTCTTGAACTCCTGAACTCAGGGATCCTCTGATCTTGGCATCCCAGAGTGCTAGGATTATAAGCATGAGTCACTGCACCCAGATTTAAACTGAGATCTTAACAAAAAGGAGACAGTTCTAATACAGATTTAGGGAAAAAGTCTTCCAGGCAAAGGGGACCACTGGTACAAAAGCTCTGAGACCTCACCAGCCTTCTGCATAATGAGGCACTCGTGATCCATTAGGTGCCCCATCTCCCAGGCCACTGTTTACAGTGATTGAGCCAGGAGGTGGGCCAATCAGAGACCTCCAGGGACTTGCTATGTGAGTGATGGGGGTAGAAAGGATCTTTCTCTGGGATTATAAATCTTAAGGACCTTTTTAGCCTAGTGTACTTGGCAATGGTATTGCTGCCAAGTGCCGAAAGCCCTTTTGAGAATAAAGCCAAACTGTGGCAAACAAGAGACGAAATCTAGACAGGAACAGAGTCCTCCACGAGAGCCTTTGAAACTCAATCCAATCACCCCTGTCCTTATGAAAACCAATCGTTTCCTTTTTTGCTACTGAACTGGGTCTCTGTCACTAGCAACAAAGGGCACCCAGAACAATACAGTTGGTTTGCTGCAAGTTACAGGTCCCACCCAATATGTGGAGCTGACCAGTCCATGAAGCATGGAACAGGTGAGGATTCTTCCTTGTCTATTGGAAAACTGGCAATCTTTGCTCTCAGTAATAAAATGCCTGCTATTATGTCGGGACCCACAACCACTGAGATTGTAGTTTTAGGGATCTTAGTAAAACAAAAAGGGGAGGATAGTGAAATGAGTGGGCTACTTACTGTGGCCTTCAGTAAGGTCTACAAGAAATGGACAAACTGCAGTGCTAGCTGGCACATCTGAGAGGAGCCAAGAGAATCAAGTCTCACTAATAGAGAACCTTAATGTTCACTAACTGGCAGTGGTACCTGGAAGTCTGATAATAATATACTGAGTTCCAGATTGCAAACGCTGAGTTCTCTGTTGAGGGATAAAGTTCCTAGCAAAGGAAAGTCACATAGCAGGAGACTGGGACTACAGCAGAGCCAGATCCCACAGCACCACCCAAATCCTTCCCACTGAGTTCTGCAGCTAGGCCATCACTGTTTCTGTAGACAAAGCATTGGGAGCTGGCACCCTGGGTGTTAAGTCCTGAGTTGAGAGGTCAACACTCACATAGACCATGATGCCTGAAGGCAACTGGACCCCTTGGTCCTGGAGCTAATTAGGTGGTCCCCAACTTATAATAACTTCATTTCTCATTTTTTTACTTTATGACAGCATGAAAGTGATAAGCATTCAGTAGAAACTATGGTTCGAATTTTGATTCAAAATTCTTAATAACTTTATTGCAAAATAGGCTATGCATTAGATGATTTGGCTCAATTACAGGCTAATGTTAAGTGTTGCTAGCATGTTTAAGTAGGCTAGGCTAAACCATGGTGTTTGGTAGGTTAGGTGTTATTAAATGCATTTTTGACTTATGATATTTTCAAACTTTCAAATTATGATGAGTTTATTGGGATGAAACCCCATCATGTAAGTTGAGGGGGGGTCTATATTAACATGGTTAGACCCGTAAGTTTGCTACAGGTTATTGGGAGGTGGTTAAGGGCTGAGGTCTTGGAGTAGACTATATAGGTTCAAATCCCAGCTCTGCTGTTTTCTGTGTGGTTGAAGTTCTAACTCAGTTCTGTAGCCTTAAGTGAGTCACCTAAGTTCTCTGGATATAGCTTCCTCATTGCAAAGCACACACTCAACTAAATTTAGTATTTTCCCTCCACCCTGACCCTGCTTCTCTTCCTCTATCTAGACTTCTCCATCTCAGTAAATGGCCCACTAGCCACCAGGTCAAACCAAGTTCATCCTTCACATCTAAATCTACCTCTTAAACACATCTTAAATCCATTTTTCTCTCTCCATCCCCTACTGTCACCATTCCAGTCCAGGCCATCAAAGCTTCTCATCTGTGTTTTGTCACAGTTCTTTCAAAATGCTTTTATACAGTACAAATTAGGTTGAGTATTTCCACTGCTTACAATCCTTTAAATGGCTTAGAATAAAGTCTTCAAAGGCTAATGTTCCCTCTGAGCCCTGCATAGTTTGGCCCTGGTCTCTCTCTCTCCCAACTCAGTTCAGGCCCCCTCTTCTCCCATCCTTCTGGGACTCAATAGGCTAGCTCCTTCTAGCCCCAGGACCTTCACATAGCTGTTCCCTCTCCCTGGAATGTCCTTCCCCAAATATGTCTTAGCTTAGCTTGACTGCTTATCCTTCAGATCTAGGCTTAAACGTTAGTTCCTCAGGGAAGCATTTTCTGATCCCTCAAATCAGGTCAGGTTTGGGTGGCCTCCTTCATAGGACCTGTCACCTCATCACTGATGTATGTCTGCCTTCTGGATCTCACGGAGACTTGTCCTCATTCTGCTCATTGTTTACTCTTGAGCTCATGTGATCCTCTTGCCTCAGCCTTCTGAGTAGGCACCTGCCATAATGCCCAGCTAGTTTTTCTATTTTTAGTAAAGAAGGGGTCTTGATCTTGCTCAAGCTGGTCTTGAACTCCTGACTATAGGCACCTGCCATGATGCCCAGATAGTTTTTCTATTTTTAGTAAAATAGACTACAGGCACCTACCATGATACCCAGCTAGTTTTTCTATTTTTAGTAAAGAAGGGGTCTTGATTTTGCTCAAGCTAGTCTTAAACTCCTAAGCTCAAGTGATCCACCTGTCTCAGCCTCCCAGAGTGTTAGGATTACAGGTGTGAGCCACTGTGCCTGGCCCACACTAATCATTTTAATCAGAAATGAGCTCAGGGACCAGAAAACAGGAGGCCCAGAAGCTAAGCTAAGACAGCTGAAGTTTCTAGTTTGGTCTATCCTTGGCCCCTCAATGGCTTGTCTTTAGGCCCCTAGGTGGTAGATTAAAACTCAGGCTTCCTGAAAGGGAAAGTTTTGGGACTCTTCAAGCCCTGATTTTGACTGGCCACCTTCTAGAAGGCAGAGTTTAATTTAAACAAATTTTTTTTCTTGTTAGACTTGCCCCAAGATCAGGTCATAAGGTGAGTCAGCTACAGCTCTGGGGAAGACTCTTGGCAAGAGTGAGAGAGAAACTGGTCTGACTGCAGCTTATAATTCTATATTTCAAAATGGTTGTATGCTTTCGCCCAAGAGTAGGGGTTCCCTGTCACTCTGCAGACAAGCAGGTAGACTTGCAATCTGGCTCCTTTTTAACTGGGTCTTGACTTTCACTAGGGGGAAACATTATGTCATATCAGTATCATAAAGCTGCTTGAGCTAGAAACCCATGAAGGCATCCTTGATTCCTATTGTTCCTTAATGCTCCACCTTCCCTGGATTTAGAGTATTGCAAAATCTGCTGAGTCTGTCTTCAAAACATATCCTCATCTTCCCACTTCCACTACCCTGGTCTTTCTCACTCTTTTTTGAGAGAAGAATCTTGCTCTGTTACCCAGGCTGGACGCCAGTGACACACTGCAGCTTATTGTAGCCTCGAACTCCTGGGCTCAAGCCATCCTCCTACCTTGGCCTCTTAAGTAGCTAGGACTATAGGTGTGCAGCACCACACTTTACTACCCTGGTTTCTTTCTCTATAGCTGTTCCATTTCTCCCATACTGGGTGGTGCCTGTGGTTCAAAGGAGTAGGGTGCCAGCCCCATATACCGGAGGTGGTGGGTTCAAACATGGCCCTGGCCAAAAAACAAAACAAAACACCTAAATCCATTTCTCCCATACTAGCAGAATACAGGAACTTGGATCCTTCCAAAGGCTTCCTAGCAAATGCAGAATAGGTGAAGACAAGGTGCGGGATCTGGCCGAGACCTACCTTTTCAAACTCTAGCCCAATCTCTTCTTCCTTACTCTGCCAAGCTTCTCCCACCAGTCTCTGCACATGTCATGTGGCTCTTACCTCTGGTACACTGCCCTCTGCTCTTTGTAAGGATCTTTCCTTGGGTAGGGCTTCCCTTCCATCTTCCCAGGAGAGGCCACTCCCATGTTATTCTCTGTCTTAGACCCTTTTTTTCCTTCAAAGCACTTAGTTCAATTTGTAACTGCTTTATTTGTTTTTCTTATCTGTCTCCCCCATTCTCTTTGGATAAACTCCATGAGGAGAGAAGCTGAGGCCTGGCCTGCTATAGTCCCAGTACCCAGCACTGTGCCTGAGCACAGAGTGGAGATTCTCAAAAAATATCTTTTTTTTTTTTTTTTTTGGTGGGGGCTGGGTTTGAACCTGCCACCTCCAGCATATGGGGCCGGTGCCCTACTCCTCTGAGCCACAGGCCCTGCCCTCAAAAAATATCTCTTGGGTAAAATGTGTTTTTGGTGGTGGCATCTCCAGGTGCCAGAAACTCCCTCTTTCCTTCTGGATTTTGATCCTCAGGCAGTGTTTCTGCTCATTAATGAGTAATTCTTCTCCAGATTTATAGCTCAGAGTAGAACAGGAGACCTTAGGCAGCCTGGCAACCACTGGCTTGTGGGGGAAACGCCTTCCAGTGGAATCACAGCAAATTTCAACTCTAATCTGAAAATATCAATTTAGGCTTCAGGGCCAGCACCCAGCTCAGCTGCCATAAACTTTCCAAAGTGTTTAGGATCCGAGATCCAATTGCTCCTCTCTCCCCTAGTGCTCCAAGTCTCTCTCCCAGCTAGGCACCACCAATCCTGTGCCTTGGACTCTGAGTTGCTTTCAAGCTGATGCCATACCAGAGGAAAGAGCTAGGGTTGGCAAAGGTGAGCCTCAGGTCTGACCCAGGGGTAGTGTGGAGAAGCCTGGGAGAGCCCACGAGGAGGCAGCTAAGAGTGGTGAGAGTCAGCATGCATCAGAAGCAGCCCAGGGCTCTTGGGTCCCCACCACCGTGAGAGCAGGAAGAGAGCACGAGGGCACAGTTCTAAAAGCAGCATTTACTTTGGTTTTCACATCTCCAGGGCCCTGGGAACTTTTTTAAGTTCTAGTTCTTGGGTTTTGCACTCTCTGCATCATTCCTCCTTCAGCCACTGCAGCAGCTGAGGTGTATAGTAGGTGATGATGATGTCGGCACCTGTATTGGGAGAGAAGTGGGAAGCAGGGGGTGGGCATCAGCTCTGAGCACACCTTCCAGGAGAGGAGGGCCAGGCTGGGAAGAAGGCTACCATGAAAAGCCACAGCCTGTGGGTGGCATAGCATAAGACAGAGCCAGGCTTTGGGCAGACCTAAGAAGTTTAAGATGCATAGTGGGGGAAATAAGTAAGCTGCAGTCCCCTTCCCAGGCTGCAGTAACAAAGCCAGCTCCTGTGTATGGAGTGATAAGCATATGCCAATTATCTATTATTACCTTACTCTTCAGGACAACTATGACCAGACATTCCCCCAGCTTACAGACTAGGACACTGAGGTTCAGAGAAGTGTCTTGTCCACATTCTCACAACCCAAAAGTAATAGAGGGCCCTGCTTTCTTCACTGTCTATATTCCACATCCCTTCCTCACTGCATGTCTGTTTAGATCACTACCATTTCCAGGCATAAGTCTCATGACATCATTTCTCTATCTGGGCAAAGTGTCTACCAGTCCCTATGGCAGATGTGAAAAGACCCCATGCCTGTCTGCTTACCTGCTCTGCGGAAGGCAGACATGGCCTCCAGTACGGCAGCCTTAAGATCAAATGCCCCGGCATGGGCTCCGTGCCACAGCATGGCAAACTCTCCAGAGACATGGTATACAGCGAGAGGCAGCTCAGGGTGCTACAGAAAAGCAGTGATGAGGACACAGGTTCGAGTGGAGGGCAGATGTGCCTCTGGGAGTGTCCCTTCCTCCCTGCCTAATCTGTGACCATCTTGAGCCTCCTGCCCAGAGTCACTGCTGCTGGCAGCCTGGCTCCTTCTTAAACTGTTAAGCCAGAGTTGTTTAAAGCAGCAGTTCTCAACCTATGCGTCACGACCCCTTTGTAACAATGAAAATACATCTTAGCATTAGGAAGGTTGAGAACCACTGGTTTAAAGACTCCCACGAGTCTTGGCACAAGAGGCCGTGGTGGTTCCTGGGATGGGGGGAAGAGGATTCCTGATCAGAGGCAGACTGCTTTCCCATCCCTCAGAGCTGCCTTTCGTGCTGATCTGTGCTCACCTTGTTCTTCACCTCCCGCACGATGTCCAGGTAGGGCATTCCTGGCTTCACCATGAGCATGTCAGTTCCTTCCCGTACATCCCGGTCCTAGGGGATGAGGGTGTAGTTTGGGCAAGGTGAGGGGCAGTCTGGATGTGGGGTGAGAAGGGGAATGGAGGAGTTCAAACCCTGGTCACTCACCACTGCTCGGAGGGCCAGGCCTCGTGCTCCTGGGGGCAGCTGGTAGCAGCGGCGGTCTCCAAAGGCTGGGCTTGACTGAGCTGCGTCTCTGAGAACAGAGTGATCAGAGAAGATTAGGAGGGCTCCAGCTTTGGGCTAATGTGCCAGGGAATTGACAGCAGACTTCTGCCCATGCCACTTACCGGAAAGGTCCATAGAAACAGGAAGCAAATTTGGCACTATAGCTCATCACAGATACCTGCAGGGAGACCACGGGTCTAGGCTCAGCCAGCCCTTTCCAGATGTCGTTGGGTGGTGTAACAGGGAGGGAAAGGACGAAGGCTGGGAAGCCGAGTGCCTGGGTCCTAGTCCTGTGGGAGCTCTGGCTTCATTTCCATCTGAGGTGCAGAGGTTGAGCCAGACCCCAGAGGCCTCAGCCAGCTCTGTCCTCATCTCTGATTCTTGGCAGATGTGGGGAAAGGGCCGGTCTATGCTCCTTACTTCCCTACACCCTTCCCCGTATTCCTTGCCCATACCCTGTTGCCAAGTCCATGTGCCATCAGGGCCTTCTTAATGGCTTCCACGCGTCCATCCATCATGTCTGATGGGGCTACCACTTGACATCCTGAGGGGCAGAGGGTGGCCTTCAGAACTCTGGGACTCTCCCACCCATTCTGCCATCTCCCTGACTCACAGGTGCCCTGTGATGGCTCACTCACCTGCCCTGGCATAGGCCAGGGCCACTTCTGCCAGTCGTTGGCAGCTCTCCTTGGCCCGGAATGCTCCATTTTCGCCCAGAAGCCCTGCAAGACAGATAGCTGGTTTGGGGGAGCATCTAGGGCCCTGGCCTATCTTCATCCTGGGGAGAACTGGGCAGTGATAGTGTGAGTGGCACAGCTACTGGGAGTGAGCTCACCACAGTGACCGTGGGAGGTATAGGGACACAGGCAGACGTCACAGGCCACCAGAAGGTTGGGGAAAGTCTTCCTCAACAGACGGATCGCCTCGATAGCTGGGGAGTCCTCAGAGTCAGCTGCAGAGCCCCACTCATCCTAAGGGTGAGGGAAAGACAAGGCTATTTTTTTTTTTCCTGAGATAGAGTCTCAAGCTGTTGCCCAGGTTAGAGTGCCGTGGCATCACAGCTCACAGTAACCTCCAACTCCTGGGCTCAAGTGATCTTCTTGCTGTAGTTTTTCTATTTTTACTAGAGATGGGGTTTTTGCTCAGGCTGGTATCGAACTCCTCAGCTCAAGCAATCCACCCGCCTCGGCTTCTCAGAGTGCTAGGATTATAGGCATGAGCCATTGCGCCTGGCCAGACAAGGCTGTTATGTGAAGCTGTGGGGAGGTAGGAGAGCCAGCCACCAGAGTACAGCTCTAGCCCTTTCCTGTTATCACCATCACAGCCCCTGAAGAGAAAGCACAGAGGACTATCCCCATTTGCAAGGGGACAGGAGGCTCAGAGAGGGGACCTGACTTAGTAGTCAGGGTGCTGTAGCCTCACTTAGCTTCCAGATCCACATATATGCTAAGGGGAGGGACTATGTCCATTCACCTGTAGCCCCAGGGCCAGGACAAGGCAGGAACAAGGGTGTCATCAGTGTAGAACCTTAGCCCACCCTCCCTTTTTAACCCTGCCTCCAACTCTTCACCTTGGGAACTCTGCTGGGAACACCAAAGATCAGGACGCAACGCAGGCCCTCTTCCACCAGGGGCCTCAGCATCTCTTCCAGTCGGTTCACACCATACCTGGGTGGGTTGGGGTGGAGGGGCTGAAGGGAGGCAGGTTCCAGGCAAGGGTTCCCCTGACCCTTCAGCACTGTGCTTCTGGTAACAGTCACACTGCACTCAGCAGCAGGAGGGCTCAAGCCCCACAGTACAGGGAAGAAAAGGAATGCACCCAGCAAACAGGTGGGAAAATTGAGGCCCTGAGTAGCAGAGCTGTGGAAGGCTCCTTCAAGAGGCTCTTATTGACCTCCCATATGAAGTTCTGCTCTCTTCTGCAACAGCCTCTGCTGTGATGACTCTGGTGATGGGTAGCTCATTACTTTATGAGGCTAGCTTTGACCCTGAGGAGACCCTTCCCTCTACTGAGCTGACATTTATGTCTCCAGATCTTCTGCCTCCTGGCACCTACACTGGTGAAATTGCTCTCTCCACCATCCCCCGACCTGACCCTCCTTGTCTCCTACCTGGCCACTCCTGGGAGGCTGGCAATAGGCTGTATGTCATCAGGAACATCCCTGCAAGAGTGGGGGGTGGGCTATGGATTGGTAGCTGTGGGAAGGGCCAGTGGTGAGGGGTGACTGGAGGGCATGGCTGGGAAGCTGGGAAGGAATGTGGGAGTGGAGATGGAGGGAGGGGAATGGGATCCACTGTCTGGCTGCCCTGCCTGGCCAAGCCCAGGGCCTGAAATAATAATAGGAACAACAAGAATAACATTGACAACAAGAGCAACCATACTTCAAGAACAGTAATCACAGGAAGGAATTAAGTGGTTAATAACTTAAGACTCTGAAGTCAAGGTCCTTGCCTGTCCTAGCCACTTACTGCCTGGGTGACCTTGGTCAAGCTGTATCATTTCTTTGAACCTCAGGCCCTTCTCTATATCTGGATTAATTAATTCATTCAGCAAATATTAGTGAACACTTATGATGTGCCAGGTACTGTTCTAGGCTCTGATGATGCAACTGTGAACAAAAACCAATAAAAAATCTCCTTGTGAAGTTGACAGTCTAGGAGATAAGCTCTATGCTGTCAGGTTTGACTCTGATAATGCATGGTGACACTTAGCATTAGTAAGTACAGAGTAAGTAGTCAATAAATGTCTACTGTTGCTATTAGTGGTAATCCTGACTGCTGCATCTTAAACATACACAGCACTTTACAATCTATAGAATAACTTCTCAGCTTCTGTCTTAATTACAAAAGCTTAGTATGGTGGGCAAGGGTTATTCTTATTTTCCAAATGGAATGACTAAACTTTTTTCAAGGTTTATTTTGTCCCTAAGACTGTTGCATTTACTCTAGCAGGCCACTTTCAAGACCTTGAGTTCCAAGCTGATAGCCCACTTTGCCAACCCCAGCATGCTGATGCCTACTCTGGTCAACCCCCCACCCCCCAGCAGAGGCCTGGCCCATTCCTGGGGACTCACGTGACAAAGATGGGGTAGATGAGGTTGGAGGCGTTGAGGGTGGTGGCAGCTGCCTGCCAGGTCCGGAGCAGCGGGTGGAAGTAGCCACTGTGTAGAACAGACTGGGGCTGCATAGTGTGGGCCAGTTGGGGCGTGGAGCAGTCAGCTGGCTAGATTTGAGGGCCCCTGGAATGTCTGCTCAGTCTAGGGGTAAGGGGAGCGGAAGGGGTGTGAGACATGGTCACAGGAGATGGTCACATCTAGAAGAGGGCTCTTCCAGATTCCTGCCTCCCCTCTTTTAGCCTGGGGCTACTCATCATGTGCCACCAATCCCTGCCGTCTACAGCAAGATAAGCAGAAAAACAACAGGAAGCTTTCCTAGCAATCTGAATCAAATGATAGAAAACCTGGGCTTATAGTTTATGACTGTTATCTATCTATCTATCTATCTAAACAGAGTCTTACTATTTTGCCTAGGCTAGTCCCAAAGTCCCTGCCCCAAGAGATCCTCTTGCCTTGGTGTGTCAGACTGCTGGGATTACAGGCATGAGCTGCTGTGCCTGGCCAACTGCTTAAAAAAAAAAAAAAAAAAGAAGAATTTCCTGGAAATTTATCCTTATTACATTTTATCAAAGAATCAATGGATTAGAAATATGAAATAATTTGATAAGTATTATTTAGCATAATTTGAGAAGCATTATCTAGCCAACATCTAAACTTTATTCCATGAAAAATGCTTAGATTCATGGTAGAAATCTTAGAAAAGTACAGATAACCAGAAAGAAAAATCCCCTGTAATTCTATCTCTAGAGAAATGCCCTTTGGTACATGGACTTCTTGTCAGGCACAGAACATACTAAGAGGACAAAAAAGTACTATGCCCAACAGACAGACACACACACACTATAGAATGGCCATTAGAGCTTGAGATGGGTGCCAGCTGCCTCAGCACCCCCATAAGATGCATGCTGGCCTCACAACGGCCTCACACCACCTTCCAAGTAGGAGGAAGGGGAAAAAGAGGTAAATGAAATAGTGCCAAATACCATTACTCTTAGATCGGTCCAGATTGGGACAGAACAGAACAAGAAGTAATGAGCCAAGTACTGTCACGATGAGGGTTAACAAGCTAAGTGTTGGATCGGTGCCTGCAGCTCAAGCAGCTGAGGTGCCAGCCACATACCTGAGCTGGCTCCTGGTTCGAATCCTGCCCGGGCCCGCCAAACAACAATGAGGGCTGCAACCAAAAAATAGTCGGGCGCTGTGGCAGGTGCCTGTAGTCCTAGCTACTTGGGAGGCGGAGGCAGGAGAATGGCTTGAGCCCAGGAGTTGGAGGTTGCTGTGAACTGTGATGCCATAACACTACCCAGGGTGACAGCTTGAGGCTCTATCTCAACCCCCCCCCCCGCCCAAAAACAAAAAAACCCAAAGCTAAGTGTTGTCACAAAATTGTTTTACTTGTTCACTAATTGACAGATCTGCTTAATGTGTTGCCAGATCTGCTTTATGTGACCTTTATGTTACCTACCTGCTAAACTGCTAAATCGCAAGGTTCGCTTCGTGTCCCCACGCTCCCTTTTTGATTCTTTGGCAACTTTCTTTTTGCTTCTAATTGCTAACTTTCAGCCCACTTGTTTGGCCTTTTGCCAACTTTCAGACTAGAAAACCCCCAACTTCAGACCCCTCAATGCTCTCTCACTTAGTCTGGATCAGACTTTGCTGAGACAGCCCCATGGTTAATAGAAGACTCCTTTTTGAAATTCTAATTTGAGTCAGTGGTCCTTTTCTTGCCCCATAACAAGCTGTCATTTCTAGCCCAAGGAGCTCTTTGGCTTTGCTCACCTTGTTCCTTTACCTACAGAGTTCTCCTCCTGAGTTTCTTCTTGCAGATTGCAATCTCTTAGATAACAGGTCCTAGTGGGCCTGTCTTATCTGGTGCCAGTAGGCAGAGCTTCTGCAGGGCAGAGTCCAGAGTCAGTTCATTTTTGCCTCCCCCACAGCACTCCTCTGCCACACACTGACTCTGGCACGTGGTAAATATTTAACTACATTTACTCTAAATGTCAAACGCGTGATGTAGGTACCTACTGTGTGCCAGGCTACACTGGGCCCTTTCATAGGCAATTTCTCACAGAGTTTCTCTATAGTTCTGAGAGGCAGGGCTTACTGAGTGTATTTTGGAGAGGAGAAGCCTGACCAGAAATGAATCATGGTTTCAACCTGAGTCAGGAGGTCAGAATGGGCTTGCTAGAAGACAAGGGCTTGAGCTTGGGTTTGCAGGATGAGGGCATTCAGCCTGACAGAGGCAAGGGAGACAATGTTCCCTCAAGAAGGGAAGAAAGGAACAAATGTGAGGAAGGAAGATGGCCAGGATGGTTCTGAGGACCTGAGGAGACAAGTGAGACGCCTGCGTACAGAGGGGAGGGGATGAGAGGGAGCCAGATGGGTTGAGAGAAGATTTCTGAACGGGGGTAGGGGAGAGGCCTGGTAGAAACCTCCCTTTATTTAGAAGTATTAATTTTGCAGGCCGAGCAGAGCAGAGAATAAGCACAATGAGGGGGTTGGGTGTGGAGAAGGAAGGGCCATCTTAAGGTAGCCGAGGGGGCAATAAAGTAGATGAGCTTGCTCTGTTTTAGATACTTCCTTTTGAAGATGCCTAGGAGAATACCCCATAGCCAAGTAGTAAAACAAACAAAAAGAGACACAGTAAGAGACGCTGGCAGGCCCTAAGCCAACTGTTCCTTGAGGCCCAGAGAGGGGCAGGGACTTACCCAAGGCCACATAGTGAGTAAGAGGCTAAAACAGCAGGACTAGCAGATGTGTTAACAACTTCCAGGTGGGGAATCCCGTGACATGCTGATGCTGCTTTTCTCCAGTCTTTTAGGTCCCTTGAGACTGCCACCTCCACTGGCAACCAGCTCAGGGGCCCATTTTATCTGGTCTTCCTTGGCAGGGTTGAGGTTATCAGGACTCATGCAGGGATCTGCCCTAGGACACACCCTGAGTGGCCTAGGCTCATCTCCCGAAACACAGCAGGCCAGGCCCTCCCCCAGGATATTTCAAGCCCCAAATGAACACTCATGTAGAAGATCTAAGGACCTGACTGCCCATTTTCTGCAATATTTTGCTCTCAAATATATTGGAAGTTGACCCAGCTCAGAGGGGTTAAATCACCTGCCCAAGACTACACAGATAGTGACTGAGCCGGAATTTGAATTTGTTCTAGATTTCGAAAACAGGGTTTTATGTGCCATACCCCATAACACTGAAAAACACTTAATTTAGTAGGCATCTCTTTGCCTATACTGTCTCCGCTCTGGGTGGTGGAGAGATGGACGAAACAACAGAAAAACATACTGGGCATGTTAGCTTTGTGCTGGGCACCAAACTAGGTACTTTATATTATTTAATTGCAAGAATTAGCTTAACTTTTAATGATAAGGGAATGAAGAGGTTAAGTGACTTTGCTCGATGTCATTCTGGAGTCAAGCCAGGTCTACATGTCTCTGATTGACTTCTCACAGAACACCTTTGTAGCAGGTCTCTGGCTTCTGGAATGTAAAGCTACATTCCACTGAGGCCCAGGGAACAACTGCTTTCTGCTTATCAGAAACAAAGCAGCAGGGTGGCCTAGGAGCCTGGGAGAGGCGGGGAGGGTAAGTGGAGAGAGGGAGTAGTTCCACTTTGATCTATTTTTGAACAGTAGGGTTCAGAGAGAGATTTGATTTCAGAAACGGGTGTCAGTGCTAAAAAATTAAAAAGTTGAAAATCACTGATCCTATTTAGTCCTTAACATTTCATTGTGGAAAATGGGTGCAGAGAGAAGGCCGGACTTGTCTGACATCACACAGGGAGTGAGGCACAGAGCTAGAAGTTGACCCTGTAGCTCTTGGCTTTTAGCCCAGTGCTCTGCTACCTACACCACAGAGTCATTCCACTACACTAGGTGCTTAATAAGTATCTGTGGAATAGGAAAATGGCCCCTCAGGGGCATATCTGTTTGGCAGAGCCAAATCCAGGCCAGGGTTTTGCTTTGCAAAAAGTCCCTCAAAGTTCGGGAGATTTTCACAGAGAGTGAAAATCAAGGGGGAGCTTATAAACCACAGCTTAAATCCTGTGACATCTTCCTCCACTGAAGATAGGAGGAAGTCACTAGGACCAGCTACAGGACAGGTTAGCTTTGCTGGAAGGCACTATCAAGTGGTACAGAAGGAACAAGGTTTCTTTTTGCAAGAGTCAGTCTCAGGTCTGGTCTGTATTTTTAACTTTGGGCAAGGTCACTAGCTAGTCTTCATTTTGTAATCTATAAAAGGGGCACATTATGAAATGTGCAAGGCTGTGTGGATTACAGATAGTGATGAGGTACATGTCTGGCACCAAGTAGCCACACAGTAAACACATGGCTAATTTTCTCATTATTAGGAATAGGGCTGAGCTGAAATGCGATCTCCTGGCACCACACTGTGTCCTCTGCACCACACCTAGAAGGAAGGCATGTACTCAAACCTTTCTGGGTCATAGGGTCTTCTAAGATTTCTGAGGTGAGGTCCCTGACTTCCAAAAGCTTATGTGGTGAAGGACAAGTAAAACAATCACCACACAGATGCCAGAGTAGAGGGGTGAACCAGATGCTGTGGAAGGGACCTGTGTCTTTGGGAGTCAATGATGGTTTCATGTGAGAGGGGATACTAAAGGACAGGTAGTTTTTCAGATTGTGAATATATTACCTTCCTTGTAAAGTGATATCCCCAATCTGGGAATAACCTAAGTTGGGCCCTGAGAGCTACCAGGAGTGACTGAGACAGAGTTGCATGAACCCCCCATGCTGTACTACACTGAGGATTCCAGAGACTGTGGTCTTGGCAAAGAGCACTGGGAGCTCCTGCCAGCTCTGGCAGGCTCTGTCACTGGCTGGGGAGGAGGGAGTCAGGACAGCCAGCTAGGTAGAAAGTGACTAGGACTGAGAACTCCAAAGCCCCTGCATTTCCTAATTATGTACAGCAGTACTGGGCCTGCTGCAGTACTAGATTCAGAATTAAAGAGAAGAATGAGACCCCAGCCTTGTCCTAGGGTTTTGAAGAGCCAAATCTCTGGGTTTAGGCATTTGGAGCTAGAAGAAGCTGCCATTTCCAGACCCCTCTTCTTGGCTATGAGGCTTCTTACAGCTTGCTGATTATACCATTGAAACAACAGTGAAATTGGGCTGAGAAGGGCAGACACTGGCCTGGGATCATGCAGCAGGTCAGTAGCAGATTTGGGCCTGTCTTCAACAGCTCAGTCCTCAATGCCCACCATGATCCCTTGATAGGGCAGATTTCAAATCTCCCTACCAGCAGAGTTGAGCTTGTAGACAGCTCTCAGTGAAGAGGGTGGGGAGGGAGGGAAGACATAGAACTGTGACTCTAGACCTGGCTGCTGTTGGTAGCAGGATGCTTAAGTGTGTGCGCTTTGGAGTCTGATAGACATGGGTACAATCTGTCACTTCCAGCTGTGTGACCTTACTTTCTTCATCTGGTAAATGGAAATCTGAACTTATTTCAATGGGCTGTTATGAGAACTGAATGAGCCAATGCGTGCAATGCTTAGCACAAAGTGGCTGTCCTTGCCTTCACCTCCTTCCCTGGGACAGCTCGGGCTCTGCATTGATTGAGACTGCGGTCTCCGAAGGTGCGAACCCCAGAGAGAAGGTAGAGAATCTGGACCCAGGGCCCCAAGCCCTGCTGGAGCAAGACCATCTAGTCCAAACAGGGGCTCCACCAGGACTCCGTTCCGCAGAACCTCCAGCCCTACAGGCGCACAGCACAACCTAGGGTCGCGGGACTCTGGGTGGCATGGCCCCAGCCTCGCCTTAGAGGCGCCTTCAAAAGCCTGCCATCTCCCAGCGCCCAGCGCGCGCTCACCTGCCTCCTTACGGTTCCGAGCCGCTGCTCCTGCCTCCGCGGTCTCCCGCTCTTGTCTCCGGCGCCCACTGGAGGGCGGGGAGGTTTACCCGGAAGCAGCTGCCCCACGACCCGCCCTCTCCACTCCAGGCCACGCCCCTTACGGGCAATCTCCTAGGAGGCTCAGGCAGCGGCCCCGCCCACATGCGTCAGGCTCCAAGCTTGGCCAGTGGGGTGTGCGGAGGCGCTGCTTTGGCCTCTGCGCGCGTATAGCACGAGGGCCCAGGAAGGCCGGAGCGAGCCCTAGTGAACCGCGGGGTTTTACCACCGAGGCGGTTACGTCCCTGGAGTTCGCTTCATGGTACTCCTCTTACCAGCCTAGGGCAAACTTGGCGCTGGTTAGTTGTTTGGTGAAAGAATAATTGAATGTCAAAGGACATTAAAACAACACCATAATGCCTAACACAATACTAAGTCCATTTTTGCAGACTGAGTGTTTTAAAGTTGTTGAGCTCAGCACCAGACTTTGAAGTTTTCAGAGAAAATTTATTACAGCTCAATTACTTATTCAGGGCCTTCTCTGTGCCATAAGTTGGGAGATATGATGTAAAAGAGACACGCATTTAGACAAACTCCAAGTTGGCTAGGGGCATCAGACCTATATCTGTGATGGGTACCATGTGACGAAAGGTCTGGAGGTGGGGGGTTGGAGCAGAATATGTGCAGGAGGAGCGATCTGGTGGGTGAGGCCTATGGGACCTGGGTGAATTGGTAGGATTGGATGGGTGAAGCAGGGCTTGGGGATCATCACCCTAGCAAAGAAATTTCTTTGAGAAATTTTTTAAGGGATTATTGAAAAATTGACTTGAGGGTGCCAGTGGGTTGCATTACATTTATTGTTAGATTTTATTTCTCAAAAGCTGTACCCCAAACCTGTCGTATACTTCTTTATATTTTAAGTTCAAGGGGTGTAGTGTCTTAAAGCTAGAGAAATATGACATTAAATTTTCAGCTATTAGAGTTCTGATCTCTCAACAAGTTAGGAGATGGAAAGGAAATAATGTATAAAGGCTACTAGGGGCTTCGGGGGTGCTGGTAATGTATATTGAGCTGGGTATGGTTTACTTGGATGTGTTTAGTTTGTGAAAATTCATCAAAGTCTACACTTATTTGCACCTTTTGGTATGTATATTATAGTTTTATAAAGAATCAAAAGTGTTCTGTGTTCATATGGTACATGGCATCCTGCTAAAAGCCTTGAGAGCATAAAAAGAAACAACGCAGCAGAAAGCAGGTCAGTAACTGCCAGGGCCTGGGGGAGGAAAGCATGAGGAGTAATCATTTAAATGGGTACAGGGTGTTGTAAAAGTTTTGAAACTAGAGATAGTGGTTGCACATCGTGAATGTACCGAATGCCACTGAATGGCTCATTTACAAATGGTTAGTTTTATGTTCTGTGAATTTCATCTCAAAAAAGAGTTCACTAAATGCAATGTGGTTTTCTAGATTGGATACTGTAACAGAAAAGGAACATTAGCATAAAAATTGGAGAAATACAAATAGTCTGACACAGGCCTCCTCAAACTATGGCCTGCAGGCCATGTGACCCGCCAGGGTGTTTTTGCCACCACTGCCTATCCTGCTTAGCTGATGACTCGTCCTGGGCCGCAGTCTGGCCCTCCAACCTGAGGGACAGTGAAGTGGCCCCCTGTTTAAAAAGTTTGAGAACCCCTGGTCTGGTATTTAATATAAGTGTTTTTCTGGCCAGGAATGTCAGTTTATGCCTATGATCCTGGTACTTTGGGAGTCTGAGGCTGAAGATCACTTAAGGACAGGAGTTTAAAACAAGTCTGAGTGAGACCCTATCTCTACAAAAATTAGCCAGGTGTGGTGGTACACGACTTTCACTCCAGCTTCCTGGGAGGCTAAGGTAACAGGACAGCTTGAGCTCAGTAGCTTCAAGTTGCAGCGAGCTATGATGCCACTGTACTCTAGCACTGGCAAGAGAGTGAGATCCTGTCTCAAAAAAAATGGTTTTTTCTTAAACAGTGGCTCAAGCCTGTAATCCCAGCTACTTGGGAGGCTGAGGTGGAGGGATCACTTGGGCCCAGGAGTTCTGAGCTGCAGTAAGTTATTATTGTGCCACTGTGCTCCAGGCTGGGCAACAAATGAAATGCTGTCTCCAAAAAAACAAACAAACAAAAAATAAACTCTCTTAGTTTTGACAAACATACCATAGTTGTATAAGATGTTAACATGAGGGCAAGTTGGGTAAGGGGGTACATGAGAACTCTGTACTTTTTGCAACTTTTCTGTAAATCTAAAATTGTTCCACAAAAGTTTGTTAAAAGGGCCAAGAGCACTGGCTCACACCTGTATCCTAGCACTCTGGGAGGCCAAAGTGGGTAGATTGTTTGAGCTCAGGAGCTCAAGACCAGCTTGAGCAAGAGCATGACCATTTCTACAAAAAATAGAAAAACTAGCAGGCATAGTGGTGTACGCCTATAATCCCTAGTCCCAGCTACTTGGGAGGCTGGAGCAAGAGGATCGATTGCTTGAGCCCAACAGTTTGAGGTTGCTGTGAGCTACAATGCCACAGCACTTTACCCAGGTGATAAAGTGAGACTGTCTCAGAAAAAAAAAAAAAAAAAGGGAGTCAAAGTTTAGTGAGGAATGGGACAGGATGAACTAAAGCCATAGGGAAAGAGAGTTCTTTGGAGATTCATTCTCTGTATATGGACAATTAAGTTCAAAACTTCCCCCTGCTTCCCCCATGTGTATGTATATATACATACACACACACACACACATATATATACACATATGTATTTTTTCTTTTTTAAAAGCTAGCAAAATTTAGCAGTGGGGGGGCTATATACTAACTTTAGTGACACTGATGTTATGAAATTCTAATAACCCACTATTGTACCAACCTAGGGATTCATTCTTTACTATAGCACACAGCCTTATATTAGATACAGAGTGGCAGATTAAAATAGATGGTAGGTGAGCCTTCCTTGGATAGGCTTTGAATAATAGATTTGATTTAGTAGGAAGCCAGGCAGGACCAAAACAGCAATGTTCTAGGAAGATCCACTTGGCAAGTAGTATGCAAGGGTACTAGGGGAAGCAGAGATGAGGCAGGGAACTGAGCTCAAAGGAAACTACAGGAATCCATATAGGACTTGAGGGCTTAGCCTGGAGTGGTACTTAAGGGAATCTGGAGAAGGAAAAAGCCACTACTTAATGACTTACTGGGGTTTTATCTTTGTGAAATGTTATTTATAAATTTGATTTATGACTTAAAAAAGCCATGTAGATTAGAAGTATATAGTATTGTGGTTAAGAGATAATAGAGGTAATTACAACAGTGCCAGACATGGTAGGGATTCAATAAATGGAGCTGCTGAGAATCTAGTGTGCATAGGGTGCCCAGCAGAGCCATCAAAAGCTCTTGCTGTGGTTCAGAGCCCTTGCTGGTGTAGGAGCAGCATCTGCTGGTCACTGAAGGTGATGCAGGAGCCCACATTTACAAAGGTCTGGCTCAGTCAACACCCTAGAAGTGTATGGATCAGGGGTTCTCTCCAAAACACACTATATATAAACAAGCAGGATGAAACAGGAGGCATCACTTTTAACAAAAATGTCCTTTATTTGTACAAAACATTATTAATCTTCTCAAAAATTTTCACTCATTCACAAAAACCTTTTCACTGTATTTATTTAACAAGTTAACAGTGTCAAACTACACTTCACGACCTGTCAAATCCCAAGCACTCAAACTTAAGAGACAAACAAAAAAGTGCTTGGAGTACTGAATGTAAAGAAAAAGGTTAAGGAAGGCCAACAGAGATGCTTTAGAAGCAGTTAAAGGGTATGGTCTGGGGGGTGGGGAACAGATTCCTGAGCACCATCAGATTTCCCTTAAGGTTTAGAGGGGTTTCATAAAATCATTTTTAAAGGATTAGAACTAAGGAATCAGAGGAACTTGGACTCTGAAACATCAAGCAGGTAATCAAAATTCCTACACTGACAGATGTGAAAAAGGAAAGAAAGTGGGGACGGGGAACAGAGACGCAGAAGAGCTACTGGAAGCAAGAAGCACAGAGGGAAAAAGTTGTGCCTAGACGAAATAAAGTTTGGAACTCATCATAAATTGAAAAATGAAAAGCCCCACACACAAGTCTGAGAGATGGAATATAAGAAAAGTCTGGCATTTTATACCTTCCAGGAGGCGCCAATAAATTGTACTTAACAGGCAGTGAGATACACCTAAGACTAAACCATCCTTTTTGTAACAGTAAGACATTAGCACCCTTGTTTGAATAATTCCAATCTACACTGCTGATTTAAGAGCCTGTGTACCCAGAGTGTAGTCAGTCTAGCAGGTTAAATGTCTATAGACAACATAAAAGGGCTCTAAGCCAAGTGGGTCTCTAGAAAATAAAATAAAATTAATGCTACTATCAAGTGAAGAGACAACAGAACAGATTTCATTATTTTCCCACAGTTTTTAGTAGTTTCATAAAGCTTTATTGTTCCAAATACTCTTACTAAGCTACTATTGCCAAACACTGTACAATCAAATATAGGCTGACCATGATCAAAGCCCCAATTTTCCTGAGCCTTCGCTGCCTCTGTGATCTGGAATACAGCAGGCAGCATGGAAGTTATTACTTTTTGAGAGGAGCAGGGGACTGGGGATCAAAAATGACCTAACCATACATATAAGTAAACAAGAGTGATTCGACTAATTTAATTAGCCATTCAGAATCCCTCTTGCCAAAGTCATAACCTTCAGACTGAACAAAACAAGATTCTGCTACTCAGATGCTTTGAGTTTGGGAAGTGCTGGTTTTGGTGACAATTCTAGTCAATTTTTATTTTGATCTTCTCAGGTACTTCTGCCCAAGACTACTCTGCTAGGCAGGGAAAACCTTCAGAGAAACATGTAGCAAGTCTCAGAATGGTACCTTCCAAGGTACCACAGTCACCCACCCTATTCAGTTGTCCACTTCCTCTTCTTCATTTTGTTCTTCTTCTTCCATCCTTTCCTCATCTTCATCATTGTCCTCATCCCTGCTCTTGTCTTGCTCTTCTGAATCTGTTTTTTTGTCTTTGTCCTTCTTCTTTTGTTCTGAAGCTTCCTTCTTGCCCTTCTGCTCCCGCCTATATGCTGTAAGGAGGAGAAGGGGGTTAAGAGGCAGGGCTGGAAGGGTGAACCAGAGGGACTGCAGCAACTAACTCCTTCAATACTTGGAAAAACTAAGTCACAGAAGGCAAAATAACCTGCCCAGCATCATAAATCAGATCTAAGGTAGTGAGGACTGAACTTGGTTGAGTCACAGCCAGTACTGAGTTACTGTACTTAAAGGGAAGCAGGCTGAGAAAGCCTCAGGGCCAAGCGAACAGGTCAGGATGACCATTTTCTACGTGGTTCAGAAGATGGGAGGGTCATTACCTTCCAGAGCTTCTTTTAACGGGGTAACGAACCGCTGGAACTCCATCTCTTCCATGGCCGAGAGCACATCACTGGCATTCAAAGTCTTGCGCTTCCCTTTCATTGCAAAATTGTTGGCACTGAAAGAAGAGAAAGGGCCGTGAAAGGCTGCCAGATTGCCTCCTGCCACCTATGGAGTGGGGAAAGGAGCACCCAGAGGTGGGATGGGAAAGCCTACTCCCTAGGTACATGGATTTTTGTGACAGGACTAAATCCCTCCCTCCTCTGTACAAGAGAGCTAAAACAGAGTTATTTTGCTGTTTTATTTTGCCCCTAAGAACTAGCAGAGGGCTGTAAACCTCGTCACACTGTGGAAGGACACAATGACTGGGGTTAGTGGGCTCCAGGCGACGAGCTCCGAGCCAGGAGTCCTCCCTGAGCCTCTCACCAGGACGTGGCGTACAGCACGAAGACGCTTGCGGCGCGGGAGATGGCGCTCCGGGCCTCCTTGGAGATGTTGACACCGTCCGGGAGCTGTGAGGAGAGCGGGGGTGAGCAAAGCCGCCGGCCCAGGACCTGCTTCCCTCCTGCCCCCAACTCATCCTCCAGCCCGAGCTGCTCACCGCCTCCTTGATGATCCTGGTGATGACGGCGTTGGGCAGGTTTAGGTCCTCTGGCCTCTCCGCCATTGCCGTCGCCCGGGCCCAGCCTCCACTCGAGCCTCCTCTTCAGACAGCTACCGCGTCCGGACTTCCCGCGTCGCTACGATCTGACCCTCCTAGGCTTCCGTCCTGCCCTACGTTGTCCACAGTGTCCCATAGTGCCTTGCGCCCCACAGCTTGACTCCTCCCCCAGCCCCGCCCCCGCCTCAAATCACCGGTGCCTCCGAACTTTCTACGCCGCAGGGATTTGGGCCCGTCGGGTTTCCGTCCAGCCCCACCGTACCCTGCACGTCTCTCCCCAGGCCCGTTTCTCTGGTTCACGCCGCCATTTCTGAAACTTTCTCACCAACTTAATTTGACTCACAGGGGATTCCGTCCGTTGTCTATCTTGCTCTACGCCGCTGCTTGGCGACGGCGGGGCCAGGTGGCTAGCGTGAGACGGAGGCGTGGCCTGAGCCAGCTGGGCGGGGCCTGGCGGGTGGGGCTCTCTCCCTTGGAGGCTCGGCGGTTTTTAATCTGCTTTGGTCTGTGGTCCTGCAGGGCCAAATTCTCCCCACCCCCCCGCCTTTTTTTTTTTTTAACCTTTTTGTTTTCGTTTCCCAAAATGAAGCGGGGAATATTTTTCCAACTCTGCCGAAGCATGTGTCTATTTTTAATTTTTTCGCTCCTCACAACTTTTTCTTGCTGTTACTAAGGATAAGCGTTATTTAGGTTTTTGTTTTATAACCGAACTATTCCGTTAGCCCAACGCTAATTTGGGGGATATTCAGATGCACTTGATTAGACCTCTGGCCTCGTGTCGGGCTGGGCAGGTAATGAAAGGACAAGAAACAGCCGGTTCGAAGAATAACGTGAATTCATAGCCAAAACCAAACCCTGTTAAAATTGTATTTATTTTTTAGTTCATTTAATTGTTCATCGTAGATCTTTTCCAGTTAGATTCATCCTCGGAGTTTTGCAATGGTGTTGGAAGTTGTATTATTTTTATATTTAGTAGGTAGTTTTCACTCCCACTGAAAACTAATGCTGCTTTTGCCTCCTTGAAACACGAGTGTCTCAAGTCACCCTTTTGTTTTCCTGCTTTCAATAGAGACACCAGAGACACCAGAGAAGTATTTCCCCATAAGGGAAAAACAACAGAACAAATGCTATGATGAATGGCAGCTGATACTGGTCAGTTAGAGACCGTAAGGTCTGGTGGAGATAGGCCTGTGTTAAAGACATCAGGAACAACTCAGCTCCAGCAAGTTGCTGTGTAAGCTGGAATTGGGCCTGGTGTTGTCAGATATTTTGATCTGTATAAGGAGCTAGAAATGTGAACATTATGAACTACTTAATTTTAAAATATTAGTTCAGGTACACTCCCATTTTGCTCTATTTGATCTAAATTATAAGCAGTTTAGAACAGGGGTTTATCCATTACTGTTCTCCATGTCCAAAACAGCTCCCCTCACTGAGTTGTCAATAAATCTGAATCAAAGGGTGAAAAAATGGACACTGTCCTTAAAAAGTAGCTCGGCGCCTGTGGCTCAAGCGGCTAAGGCGCCAGCCACATACACCTAAGGTGGTGGGTTTGAATCCCCAGCTCGGGCCGCCAAACAACAATGATGGCTGCAACCAAAAAATGGCCAGGCGTTGTGGCAGGTGCCTGTAGTCCCAGCTACTTGGG